TATAAATTTATAAATATGTATTCAAACAAAATTAAAAATAGTTTAAAAATAAAAGTTTTATAATAAAATTTTGTTTTTTGGTGTTAAAGTGAGGCCTTGCTCGTATCTTTATTAATAATTTAACTATATACTTCAGTACAAAAGTGCCAAAGTAAACTAAGTTTGTATTGTATAATAAAAATTAGTATAATAGACTCTCAATAATGTCTATATTATTATTAAGTGTCAAGCACACAATGAATTTAGTAAATAGCATAAACATAATAATTGCAATAAAACAGGATGTGTTATACGTAGTCAATTGGAGTGCTACAGTAAGTTTATTATTTTCTTTTGTTATTACTTATTATTATACTAAATCCGCACGCACCTGTGGTACTAAACAATTTGTAAACCAATGTGCAAGGTCACAAGACAACACGAGACATCACGTTTATTATAACCAATATTTGATATGTATTTGTGACCCATTATGACCGCTTTTGTCTCATCATTTTCTTCTCATTATTGTGCTATGTCCGTATTATAGAATAATTCGTCTAACATAAAGCTTTGTTCAACATGTAACGCCTTTACATTTCACAATCAATAAACTTTTTACAGAACAAATTTTCTTTTCAATTGAAAAAAAAGCGTAATAATATGAGTAATAAATTGTGTAATATAACGGCGTAGTATAAATGAAAGTATTATATAGAGCAAGATATATAATTGGTATAACTAATCTCTTTAAGGAAGCTATTTTTAACAATTGCTATTGGAGTAACAATACATTTGCATAATTATTATGCAGTAAAATATAAATGAAGGAAATTCTTTCGCGTATATATAGTAAACAATAATACGATGTAGCTTTATGTTGAAGAAATTAACGTTTGTTTTCTGACATGATACCATACCTTTTGAAGTTACTCATTTTAAAGTGTGTTAGTATTAAACAATTCTCGGCGTTTATTTAACTAAAAAATATAGGATAGCGTACTGTAGATCTTTTAGCCACATAAAATTCTATAATGAAAATTGTCTAAATGATGTTTGGATAAGGAAACTGATAGAATCACGCATTCAGTTTACATTTAACATGGTTAGGCTTTACATATCCGTTTTCAGACTTTTGTAAAAAAAAAAAAAACTTTGTCACCTAGAGACGTGGGAATCAAATGTACATTCTTAAGAAATACTAGGAATCGCAAGATCCCACACCCTGATATCACCTAATAAAACAAGTAAATAAACACAAATGTTATGAAATCTGAAAATTTAAAAGTCAAATATATGTTATGAGTCTTTATAATATGTATATGTAAATCTTTTTCGTTAAGAAATTTAACCCTACAGTATATTATTCATTACTCGAAAGCCATCGTTGTTCACTCCCCACTTTTCATACGGTATATCTCTATCTTATAAATATAACATAACCATTTGTCGCATATTTCGTACAAGGTTGGCTAATTTTTATGACGTAAATCAACGACTATTTCTATGTTACACGACTGATCCTTCACCGAGTGAGTAACGTATAAAAAATTAATTTACAATACCGCTAGTACCAGTATATGTTATGATTATAATTATAACATGTACTAGCGGATGAACTGGTATTGTAAATTTATATGTTGCACGCCGGGTGAAGGATCATTCATGTAACATCGACGCTTCCTCCTGTTAAATTTGCCATTTTTTATCATGGTATTTCACGACATGTTTGTTTGGATAAATTACTGGATGTCACGGTCAACTAAGTAAATATGTAATACCATATAAAAATGAAATCGATTTTTTTTGAATTTAGTGTCAGAATAGTGATTAAGACAGTGAGTTGATTCATTATCACTTTATAAATATATTTTAATAGTAAAGAATGAATTGCATGGTTTTAGATACCTAGAGCGAATCGCTTTAATTTTTTTAAAATATTTTAGCATAAATATATTCTCAAGTCTATTTTTAGCAATATTGCGTTAAAAATTTTATGTTTAGTTCTAAAATTTTAAATGCAACGAAAATATCTTTTCTTTGAATAAAATACGATATGAAAAAGAATTTTGTAAAGAGTTAAGCTTTGTTATAATCGTGTTTAAAAGTATATTTATGCTAAATATTCGAAAAAAAGTAAAGTGTTTAGCTCTAGACATCTAAAAACATGCAATTCATTCTTTATTATTAAAATATATATAAAAAATGATAAAGAATCTGCTACTGTCTTAATCACTATCCTGGTCACAAATTTTTTTAAAAAAAATCAATAATTGATTTTTTCTAGGAAACCCTAAGATGCCGGTGGCGTACTTCAATAATTAATTTTCATATGGTACTACATATAGTTTTATTTACATAGTTGACCGCACACCCTAATGTCACATTAACTAATCATATTGACTAATCAAAACAAAAGTATATATTACAAATTTTGTTACACAAAGAAATTAAGTAAAATGATTAAATTCAATTAATTAATTTGCAAAAACAATTGTTTGGATTAATTAGTCCGTATGACACTCTAATAAATTACAGTGTGACTTTTTCTAATTCTATAGCGTTATTTACTATAAATTTTGGCATAAACTATGCTCTATTATAATCTCTATATTAATTCTAACATATGTTTAGTACTCCAAATCTTTAATTGTTTTGTATCAATATCAAAATATTGACAATGAAACTCCTAACAAAATACGTATAATTCTAACAACATAATCTCAAATGTTCTAAGAGTTAAAATATTGATATTAAAATATTGAAGAATCAAAATTCTGAAATTAAAATCTTAAAATTCAAAATTACTGTGATCAGAAAATTTCATGTATCACACCAGGAATCTGCAAATATGTGATTGGTTAAAAAATCAATCAAATAATTTTAACAATCATATAGTGGCATTTTCTGATTTTCGGTGTAATACATTAAAATTGCTGATCATAGCAGTTTGAAAAGCATGATAAATTCAGATTAATATAAAATGCAGTCTGGTTCAAGAGATTTAAGTTCAGTATTTTAGCTAAATTGAGATCAGATATATTGCAGAGTCTCACATTAGTGACTAATCAAGACTAGATTTTTTTTTTATATGTATTAGCCCAGCGAAGCAAAAAAAAAAAGTGGCGACCAAAGTTTTAAATATGCATTTATATACTTGAATCAGTTTATTATCAAACCTTTAAAAAGATTCAAATATTGTCAAATCTTAATAAACCAACAACTAGCTCTGTAATTTTATTTTTAATATTTTTCTTAATATATCTACAGAACAAATTATCTGTAGCTATGCTATTTATTCTTGTGATAGATATATTTCTGTTTTAGGTGTCTTGAAATATCAGATCTCTTTAAATAGATGCGCATTCTTTCTAAGTGCATGCTTTATATATGCACATCTTTTCTAAGTTCACAAAAATTCTGGTTCAAATATATACATGACCTTTATAAATGCATATGTCTTATTACAGCCAGACCTCTTTAAGTGCATATTTAAATCCTATTCCAAATATATACTTAATTTCTGTAAATCTATCTTTCTTATTATTCTTTAAATACATATTGTTAAAGCACGATTCCAAGAGTACGTATGTGCTTAAAGAGGTTTAATTGTATTAACAACTTAGAATTCTATAAATAATTTATATAAAGATTATATACTATCAAAATTTTGAAGTTTAAAATTTTTTGAATTTTTAAAATTCTGATTATCAATACATGTGATCTTTATTAGTATTAACTTATTTGAATCATCTTTATATTCATGTTAATAATATATTAATAAGAATTTATAGTAAAGTTAATATATATAAGAAAATTTTAATATATAAAAATTTATAAAAATTTAGTTTGTAACTTAGATTGATATTAATGCAGATTAAATTGTTTCTAGCAACCCTTTTCTAACAATCATTGGATCAAGTTAGTACCAAAAGTAGATTGAAAGCTTCAGTCTTAAAACAGAAAGTTTTTAGTTTTACATTAAAGTAAATTTGTTGTTAACAAACTCTATGTATATGAAATACTAAGGAGTAGGTGTAATTATAAGGTTTGTGTATTGGATTAAGCTTGCTTCTTTTTTCTTTTCATAGACTCTCTTGCATGTTTGACATCTAAATGGAAAAGATATTTTGAAAACAAGAAGAAACAAAAGTTTCTAACCAAGATTACTAGAAATAAAATGAAAAAAGTAACTAGAAAACACCCTTTGACTTAGAAGCTCATAATATATCATACACCCTTGCTGATCTTGGGTCTTTGATTTTTATTATGTTTTTAGCAACAGAATGAGAGTTTCAATTCTTTCACTAAACTAGCACATGATCACTTAGGCGGCGAAACCGCCCAACTATCCCGACGAAAGTTCGAATTTTCTGCAGTCACATGCATAGAAAACTATGATAGATTTAATTACGATGTATAAATTTACAATGCCGATATGATAAATAAAAGATTCGTGGTTGTTTTTGGATTTTAAAAATGTACAAGATTCAAAAACTGTTAAAATAAATCGTTAATACCAGGAACAGTGATCAGCATCACGGAGTTTATATCAGGAACATAGTACAAATTGCGTTAATCCAAAAATCTTGATTCTGATTGGATGTAGTAAACAAATGATTTTCACACTACAATGACTACATATAAAGCATATCGTAAATGTGTACAAGGTGGCTTCAGAGACGAAATTCTTAAGGTTAAGGTTAAGATCTAAGTTAGGACCTAGAGAAGGATAGTTTATATAGTAAAATTGTTCAATGAAAACTTTTTGTCAAAGTACAAAGGTGGTTTCTTATGCTGATTTTTGAGTTATACGCGATTTTTGGCAGAACGACCGTTTTTTTTTAAATTTCCTATCGTGTTACGTTACAGTAATCATGAAATCTGATTCAAGCTTTGTTTACAATTACAATTACGATATGAAAAACTTTTCTATAAATATGACATATTCTCGCCTTTCATTACATTTCTCAATTTCATTTTTAACGATAACTTCTAAGATTTTCGGCCACAACTACTTGATGTCCTATTTAAATCAACAAAAACGAGGTCGTTACGCGACTAACGCATGTACCAATTGTAGAAAAAGGCATGTAAAATGTTCCCAAGGCACTACTTGCAAAAATTGTGCATCGCACAATATTATGTGTATTTATACTAAACCTAAAAAACGAGGACCAAAAGTTTCGAGCGGGTCAGTTAACGGTTTTGAAAGTAACTTCGGTGAAGATGCAAGTATCGAACAGGAAAACGCATTGACTTCGCTTGGATATATCTTTTGCGGATTTATTCCGATTTATCCCGACTATAACGAAGACCTTTTTCCTAATCAAATACATTTTGATACTATTATGCCAAATAACGGCATGCCCGATAATATTAATGACACACATACTTTACCTAGCTGCACTTCCTCTATTGCTTCTAATTTAGATTGTCCTTTTATTTAGATTCTTTTGGTTAAATTCTATCAATTATGGTTGACATTTCTATATCCGATATTATTTCCTTTATGCTTTTTTCTTTTAAGAACATGAAAAGGTTGAAATAGTAGGCAAGATAAATGCTTTTTGCTAGATTATTATCTATTTAGCTATTGTAAATGCAAATAATAAACTTTAAAATATTTAGTTCTACCATGTGCACGTATGGGTTATGTCTAGAGATGGGCACGCACGGGATGTTTTTGGATCCCGCGCGGGATTTTTAATATGATCCTGAAATAAGATTATTCGGCCGGCATTACCATACTATCTGGCTAGCATTAATATAATATCTGACCTGCATTAACTATTTAGCTAATTCCTAATTAAAATTTATTTATTTATTTGCATACCATTTCACACATATGTTTATTTATATATACGA